AGGAGAAAGAAGGGGGAATGATTTATTTTATTCCGCAAATATCCACCATTGAATGAGATTGTAATCTAACGATGTTGAAAGGATAGGTAATATAAAAGTAGGCAAAATAACCTATCCCTAATAAATTATAATCATTAGATTTACGAAATTAACGGTTAAGATTTTGTGTTAAACTTTTTAGTTTGACATCGGTGTCATATAGGGCAGGATCATTTAACACCAAATCTTAACCATTGACTTTCGTAAATTCAACAATTATAATTTATTGGGTCACACTTATTAATTAATTATAAATTTTTAATTAATTATAACCGTTAAATAGACAAAAATCAACGGTCAAGATTTGTTCTCAAACTTTTTAGTTTAGCACTGTGTCAAATGATCTTGCCCCTATATATATAGACACACACACACACACACACACATATAAACAATACATATTCAACTAAAGTTATTTTAATTTAAGTTGTGTTGTGTATAGGGGTGCTAAACGAACCAGGGACCTTTGGCTCGACTCGTGAATGCCTGAACTTACATGTCTAAAATTGGTTATTGGCACCAGGCTTGAACTTGTATAAAAGCTCATTTATTAAAAATGGCTCAGGCTCCAATTCAAAAGTTCGGCCTAAGAGCCTCTCAGGCTGTCCTAATATATTATTGATTTGATAGTTAAAGATGTCATTTACCGAACCTGAAACACCAATATAACAAGCATTACGTGTTTGTTTGATCCTTTATATGACAATAATGTATAATTTATTATTTTTTGTATTAAAAATTTAGAATTTATATTATTTTTTCAACTATTCGAGTATATTTATAATTTTTTTAATATAAATTATAGATTTATATATAATCACCGGGTCATGCGGTTCAACCAGTGACCCAATACCTCGACCGAGTCATTGATCATGCCGGTTTTAATAACATTGGTTTAGATAAATTTTTGTTGTCTTATTTTTTTTAAACAGGCTAAACCAGGCTTTTATTTTTTATAAATAAGTCAGGCCATAAGCCGACAATTATATTTATAACAGGTAACAGACTTTGTCAGGCTAACACATTTAAACACAGACTTAGCCTTTGAAGACCAAAGTTCGGCTCGACTCGACTCGTTAACATCCATAACTGCACCAATCCTTAGGTGCAGTCACTGTACATCCGCTAAACTTTCTCTTTCTCTCTCTCTCTCTCTCTATATATATATATATTTATATATATATATATATATATTTCGACTAAAATTATTTTAATTTAAGTTGTGTTGTGTATACCAACTACGGTGAGTGCATGTTATGGATTTAGCAAGTGTACTAGTCACACAAGTAATAAAATGATGAGTAAAGATCGTTCCCACGAGGATTTGTGTTCAAGCACCGACTAACTATATATACTTAAGTTGAAACAAATAAAAGATTATTGATTGCATTGATTTCTTGTCACCTGAAATTGAATTGAATTGTATTAAAACTTAATAAGCAAATAAAATGTGAGTTATAATGTAAACAAGTAGTCAGACATCAATTTCCCTCAAGCATGAATATATGGATGAACCAATTTCTATGATGAATTATCTTCCATGTGATGTTGATCAACCTTTTTCTTATCATCAAGATGTAATCCCTTACTACCCTGATTGAAACATTAATCAGAAACCCCAATGTCTTGGTGATTCCCTTCTTAATACATGCATTAAATACTAAGATCTTAAGATCACATCAGAATCCTAGCATTAATCCCTTGACTACTAGAACATTGATGATGAAGTTGTCAATTACAGAAACAATGTAAACATCCCTGTTCTATACTATTCCCTTGATAGAAAGAATTAATCAAGACAACTTCATATAATCACATAAGAGATAAACAAAATATTCAATTAACCATTCATAAATTCACACTTGAGTTCCATTGAATCAGACTACAAAGGACTCTACTCAGACATAATTGAAATATAAACAAGAGAAGAAGAAAAATCAAATTCCATTGTCATGATAGTTGAGTCTTCAATCTTCAAGTACAATTACATAGAATGAACTAAACTAATACAATACTAAGTCAAAGGAATTTGGAAATTCAGAGAGAATGAGGAGTCAGATCAGATCTCCCCTCTCCTAGTGTCAGAGATAATAGGATATGATAGGATATGTCAAATGTGAAGGCCCTTTTGCCTTTTATAGTTTACAAATTACAACTGAATAACAACCAAAAACTGACATAGGCGCTAAAACGTTCACTGTTGGACGTTTTAGCGCCCAACTTTGACGGGTGTCTAACCACTTTTAACTGTCTTGGGCGCTAAAATGCTTGACTTTACCGTTTTAGCGCTCAACACCAGTATCTTTGTGAACAGCAGGACGCTAAAACGTTTGCTTTGGGCGTTTTAGCGCTCAGTACCAGCACTTTTTGACTTCATTTTGCAGTAGGGCGCTAAAACTCTTGACTTTGGCTGTTTTAGCGCCCAACACTTGGAATTTTTTCATTCTTCAAAATCTTCTTCCTTCTCTTTTTGCTTCATGAGCTTCATTTTCCTACAAGAACAATGTAAATTTTCAACATAAGCTTCAGAACTTGTATTTAGGACTTTCTAGGACATTAACTCTCTTTTCCATCCATTTAATCACATAAATTAAGCTAATTCATGTTTTAAAACCTTATAAACCAAAGGTTTATCAGTGCACTCATAGTGGGAGGATCAAAATTTTAAATCCTGACCAAGGTAATTGTTCAAAAAAAAATTCATGATGAAAAGATAATGGTTGGAAGAATCTTTTAGGGCTTATTTAGGGCAAAAAAATTAATTTATTATTTTTTTAATAAAAAATTACGAATAAGTAGTCGTTTTGAAATTAATTACGAAAATATAACAGTTAAACACGCCCCATAGGGGCGTGACCGGTTGGAGAGAGACACGCCCAATGTTGGGCGTGACCGAGGAGAGAGACACGCCCAATGTTGGGCGTGTTTCACCAGGTGCTGCCACGTGGCACAAAAGCCAACAGTTTGACCGTAAAACTTTGGAAGTCCATAACTTTTGACTCGCGTATCCGAATTAGGTAATGTTTTTTTGAATCCACATAACTTTTCGAGATCTACGTAATGACACCTCATTTGGCATATTTTGTCTCTCACAAAAAAATTGAATTTACAATAATGAAACCATAAGAACGTTTAAACAAAAATTAATGGACAGAAAACCACTGTTATGATTAGAAACATTCATAATAGAGATCCTTATGATTATGGTAAGTTATGATAAGGTTAATTATGTATGTTATTGAGATATATATTAAAATTTTGAATGAAGAATTTTATGAAATTTATAATTAATAAAAGTTAACATCTGTCGGTGACAGAATATTGAATAATTTATATTAAAAAGTTAAGTGAGTGCTTTTCGTTTTATTTTGATTTTTAAGTTTTTGTTCATGATTATAAAAATGTTAGATTATTTTTAGTAATAATTATAAGGTAACAAAGTCATGTCATTTTTAATAATTATGGTATTATTGTTGTAAATTCAAATTTTTTTGTGAGAGACAAAATAGGTCAAATTAGGTTTCATTACGTAGATCTCGAAAAGTTATGTGGAATCAAAAAAAAATTACCTAATGCAGATACCCGAGTCAAAAGTTATGGACTTCCAAAGTTTTACGGTCAAATTGTTGACTTTTGTGACACATGACAGCACCTGGTGAAACACGCCCAACAATGGGCGTGTCTCTCTCCTAGGTCACGCCCAATATTGGACGTGTTTCTCTCCAACTTGGTCACGCCTCATGTGGGCGTGAGTCACGCTTAGGTCACGCCCAACATTGAGCGTGTCTCTCTCCGACCGGTCACGCCCCTATGGGGCGTGTTTGACTGCTTCATTTTCGTAATTAATTCAAAACGACTGTTTATTCGTAATTTTTTATTAACAAAAGCAATAAATTAAATTTTTTGCCGCTTATTTAGTGCACAAAACTCTGAAACTTGTTAAAATTCATAATATAACTGGAAAAAAAACACAAGAGTACGATAAAATCAAACACAATTTCTTAAATCAAAATCCCATCACACATTTTTTTTTCTGTTTTACTTTTATACGAACAAAAGAAAATATGTGGACATACAGATTTTTTTTCTTTAGAGCACATTTTTTTTAAATACTTAATAGTGTTAAATGATCCTCTTCATTTTAAAATAATTGTCACTTGAAAAACTTTAAATTGATTGTAATATCAGTAAACTACGAAGATATTGATTGTTTTTTTTTTTAAATTTATTCTTATCTTTTAATAGTTTTTAATCTTTATTTAAAACTTTGAATTGAAAAAAAGTAATATAAGATAAGATATGAAAATAATGTTACGCACAATGTTACGACCACATCTTAATCGTTGATTTCCGTCAATCAACGGTTATCATTTTTTAAATCAAACTCATTTAATTATTAATTCGTAATAAATGATAACCGTTGATTGACGGAAATCAACGGTTAAGATATGATCGTAACATTGTGCGTGTGTCACAATATCCTATCCCATAATTTGTTACCAAAATTATGATAAACTGTTAATTTGAATTGAATATATTTTTATTTTTTCAATGATACGTGGAGATACATATATACGTGTGCCCAAAAGTGCCCTTGAATTTGTAACGTGACTGGCTCTCTTACCCCTCCCCTACACACTACACACACTGCTAAAACAGTCGGTACCAAAATCAGAATCCCCTCTGAGAGTGTGCGATATTCTCTTTGTTCCTTTCCTGATAGTGTGTGTGTGTGAGAGAGAGAGATATTCTCATTCTTCTCACAAATCCCCATTAAATCAAAAACCTGATTCAAATGCTCTGACATTTCCTACTACAAATATTTCCACATCCTTGTGTCCTTTCTAATTCTATCCTCTTTCACGTGTTCTTTCAAAAAAAAAAAAAAAAAAAAAAAAAAACTGAATCTTGTTTCTTGAATCCTTATTCTCCTTCCCTTTTCCCCTTCATCGTAAAAAATAATGTTCAACAATACGAGGAACAACGCAGAGAACGATGTGGGAACGAGGTTGATTGGGATTCCCAATGGACCAACACCAACACCAACAAGTGTCCGTGTTCATCATCTTCACCCTGACAACGTGGCTGTAGGGTCCCCTCTCAGCAGGGTCTCGACCCCATTCTCCAATGGCTTTGGTTTCTCTCCATATTCAGCATCATCAGCTCCTTCTCGAAACGATCACTGTCCCACTCAATTGTGGTTGGAAAAGGACTCGTCGAGTCGCAGTGATAACTGGGTCGATGATCTGGTACTGTCCAATGATTTCTCCAGAATGAATATCAGTGTCATCGATGGAACCAGAACCAGAACCAGGGGATACGATATGAACTCGTACGCTTTTTCCTTAGATGGAAATGTTCCATTTTTCAATGAAACAGGAACCCAATATCAGCATGTTAGCAATGAGGGAGTTTCACAAAGTTTACCTTTCTGCGACGAAGGTTACACATTTGGTACCCCAACGGAGTCATCTTTCTCTCATGATCACACCAACCAAGTATATCATCACATGAGACAGATGCAGGGGACGGGTAGTGGTGAATGTGATGGACAAGTTCAATTGCAGAACCCATCTTTTATTAACCCTTATCTTTGTGATCGTTTCGTGGGTTCACAGCCCCTCGGAATGAATTGTGAAGCTGGCTGCGGTCTCAGAAACCCCTTTAAATTCTCTCAGATGATGCATCCCAGAATTGCTTTGAATCCCAATGTCAATGGTTCATCACATCACTGTCCTGTGACATCTGCCAACAATGAACTTCCCCATTGTCTCTCTCCCAGAAGAGCTGGTGGGGATCCTGCGCCGTTTAGATGTGATAATAGTATTATTATACAAGGGAAGGATATGAAAAACTGCATTGAAAACGGGTACAATTCTTTGAGGGGCTATAAAAAGAATTCCCGTGATGAGGTTGCAATTCACATTGTGGGGGATGATGTTTCTAGACACATTTCTCGTACTCCTGCTAATCAAATTTGTAAGAATAATAGCACTCTGGCTAGTCATTTACCTCTGCCCCCGCTGCTGAATTTTTATTCTCTGGCTGAGGTGCGTGCGTACATTCACAATATGGCAAAGGATCAGAATGGTTGTCGCTTCCTACAGCGGATGGTTGATGAGGGAACCTGTGAAGACATGTGTATGGTGTTTGAGGGAATCATTCATAATGTTGTTGAACTTATGCTGGACCCTTTTGGGAATTACCTTGTGCAGAAGTTGCTGGATGTATGCAATGAAGATCAAAGATTGCAGATTGTGCTTATGTTGACTAAGGAACCAGGGCAGCTTGTTCGAATCTCTTTGAATACACACGGGTACACCTTCCAATTTAATTTTGAATTTGTTCTCTTTATAAATAGGATAAAGCATGTATTTGATTTGGTTTGGTCACTGAGTTAATAGTATTATTGCTTCAGCACACGCGTGGTACAGAAGTTGATTGAGACCCTCAACTCTGGGAAACAAATTTCATTAGTGAAGTCTGCCATTCAACCAGGTTTTCTTGAACTTATTAAGGATCTGAATGGAAATCACGTCATACAGCGTTGCTTGCAATGCCTTAGCTGTCAAGATAATCAGGTATAACGGTTCTCTCTTTTACTCTTTCCCCCTCCTTTAAGTTTTTACATTTAATCCTATTCTTCAGATTTTTTTTTTATCTGTGTTTTGTTCTTTGGTGCTCAATGAACATTATGATGCAACTATATGACAATGCAGTACTCTTGGCGTCAAAAGTGGGATGAGAAACTAACTTGTTAGTAGCATTCTTATTAGACATTTCTGATCAAGTGTAAGATCTCCATTTCAAAGAAAAGAATTGTGAGACGACCAGTCATATTCTCATAATACTAACCTTGACTTGACATTGCCTAACATGGGAATTTGTTATGCATCTCCATTCTCGCTTTCATACCTTGGGCATATCAAAGGCATAAGGAATAGGTCGGTATGCTTTTGGTCTCTTAATCATTCCTCATAAATGCATCAAATTTACAAGAAGTCAAGTAATTAAGATTTCAAATTCATCTCCACTTTTATTCGGAGTTATATGGAGCCATCAGTCTAAATCTTCATTAGCATCAACAGCCTGGTACAAACTGATCTTCAATCAACATCACACGGAGTCGAGAGCATCTATGTTATATTGGAGTAGTACGAAGTTGTTTAATCATGATTTAATACAATTTTTTATAGTGTGATCTCTCTATCTCATACGGTCATACTTAAAAACTGGTTCAGTGCTAGCTTAATGAATTTATATTTTTGGAAAGTTTCTCTAGTCTATCACTTGTTGGAAGTTAATGTTACTGCTCTGAGAGTCTCAATTTATTTTATACATTCTACTCCAAAATGTCATTGTTAGAGTTTGATGTCTGATGATGGCGCATATCATGTTATATAATCATTCTGTCAAATTTTAAAATAATGATTATGTGCTTACCACTCTGATCAATATTTTGTTTCTGGGATTTGCTTATTTAGAAGTCTATATTTGTCTGGTCTTTATCATCAGAGATTTTGCAAAGGTAAGTCAGCTGTAGAACAAAGTTTGCTATCTATTGAGGACGTTCTTTGATTGTAGAATTCAAAAAAATCTCGAGCCTGTACACATGCCTTAATATGTGATACGTTGTCTGTTTTTCATTGGACCTGATCATTTAAACAAAATTATGGAGATGCTTCTTGTTTCTCTTTTTGATTTATTCCAGTTTATTTTTGATGCTGCCGAGAAGTTTTGTCTTGACATAGCTACTCATCGACATGGATGTTGTGTACTGCAACGTTGCATTGATCACTCCATGGGAAAGCATCGAGATAAGCTGGTCACAGAAATATGCAAGCATGGGCTTCTCCTCGCTCAGGATCCATATGGGTAATTTTCTTTTGATCTTGCGCATGTAATTAATAGTTTGTTACTTTTTTCGGGACAACAGGTCTTAAGATCTTATTGAGAGCCCAAATTAATTGAAGCTATACCTTCAATACTTGGTGCTATTTTAATGATGCCTCGAGTTTTATATTTAATATATCTTCTCAATGTTTAATTTTGAGACTAGATGTAGTACTTCTAGCAGTATATCCATGCCTTTTGGGAGACATAAATGTTAATTAGATGGTCCTTTTGCTTGTTTGTCGCAAAGATTCTTGTAATTATGTTAGAGTTTCACTAGCTATCCTAAATTTCACATGCAGGCATTTAATCCTTGAGTAGTAGTCACAGTGGTTTTTGAAGAACTCTAATGTATATCATGGTTTTTGAAATACTTCTAGGGGTTTGCATTTGTCATTTAACATGACACAACAAACTTTCCTACACATACAATATTTTGTGGGGCTCACATTTTTTGAAGGAAAAAAAAAAAATTACGGCACGCAAAACGAATTTCTATAACATTACAGAATCACTTTTCCTACAACACAACTCTTATAAAACCCACAGTTCTATTTGCAATAAAATGAGGTTAACTAAATGTAATAATTACTGATTATTCAATTATAAAATTTGAACTGGAAAATGTTTTGTACAAAGAATTAAATTGGATTTCTCTTTTACTCTGTTTATAGGTGATCTGCGGCTATGTCCATCCTTACATTAACGAATTTTGTTAATGATGTCCCGATAATTTTTTTTTTCTTTACTGTTTTCTATGCTCTGAGGCGAGTTATTACTGCTTGGTTTGCTTTCCATATGTAACAACACAGATCTTGGGGTTGGAGGTGAACATTTTGAGGTTTATTTAGAACACATATTTCAAACCATGGTTCTTGAAACATGTTGTGGAAATGGTCATACTTCTATGATTGTTCTTGGGTTTAGTGTTTTCTTACCTTTTTCTCTAAATTTCTAACACACAAATTATCTAGCAGAAATTATGTTGTTCAGTATATTATAGAGATGGAGACCCAAACTGCATCAACCAAGCTGATTGGTCAGTTCAAAGGGAATTATGTAAACCTCTCTAAACAAAAGTGTAGCAGTCACGTGGTTGAAAAATGCCTTAGGCATGTTGGAGACAGCAGATCGAGGATAGTTCGAGAATTGCTGTCTGCTCCTCACTTTGAACAGTTATTGCAAGACCCATTTGCCAACTATGTTATTCAATGTGCTCTTGCAGTGACCAAGGTTTGAAAATTTTCATTTATATAGCTCTTGTAGCACAGCTATAGCATGCTATGGTAGATGTATTAATTCAAGGATTGTGCATGACACAGGGTTCTCTGCATGCATCTTTGGTTGAAGCAGTTCGCCCTTACAAAATCTTACGCACCAGCCCATATTGCAAGAAGATTTTCTCGGGAAGCGTTTTCAAGAAGTGATGTTTAAATAACTGTTAGACAAGACATGTTGTTGTTTTCATTAGAGTTGCTACAATTTCCCGGATCAATGTCTTTTGTTTTATATTTTACTCAACCACTAGACACTAGTACATGTATGTTTGTCAGAGTTTCGGGCTCGTCTACTACTCCCAATAAGTTGGCAAAGAAACCCCTCACTGTTTGGTGATCTTCAAACCTAGAGAGTCTGAAAGTTGCAGAAGGCGAGTTTTGTTTCGAGATGCTAATGATTGGGGTGCATCTTGTCTTGTATTATTCTGTTGTCGTATCTTGTGTCTGTGACGTAAGGTACCTCCTCCATGGTATTCTTAAGTTTCTAGATCGTATGTACATGCTCTGGATGTTCACTTTTGGAATTTGTTGTTTCGACTTTAGATTGTCTTTTCACATTCTAGATATTAATAATTCAGAGATTTGTTGCTTTTATTCTGGAATCAAAAGGGTTTCTTGAAAGCTAATAAGGGTGGTCACACTTATTTAAGGATTTGAATCATATTTTACAAGGGCATGAGTTCGAATCCAAGCAGATGATATGAGAATTTTATTGGTGAATGATCTGTAATCTTTCTCAAAAAATTTCAAAGAAATTGGGAGATCTGTTCTGACCGTGGTAGGAGATCGGTGTCTATCCGCACCTAAACTTTTATTAATAAAAAAAAGGTTCTTGAAAGGCCTGTTTATGTACTTATAAAAGAAGGAGAAAGCGTGAGCAATTATTAATGAAACGATGCTTTTTTTATATATTATTAATCAAATACATAATGACAAAATTTTCTAGATTGTACGAGAGGGGCCACCTTTAGAGTTACAGGTAAAGTATTCGGGGGGATATTGTGACTACCAAAAGTGTCCACTACCATCTTACTACCTATCAAATCACAATTGCATCAAAGAGAGAAAATGTTAAAAAGTTTTTGAAGAGAGAGAAAATGTTAATCCAATGATGATTAGATAGGTAGTAAGGTGGTAGTGGAAACTTTTAGTAATCAATATATCCTCCCTCAAAGTATTCGACTTTTAAAACTTTTGAACTAATGATACGTCCCCTTGTCTAGATTGTATTATCACGTTTAGCACAAAAAAGCAAAGTCAGAAGTATATTATGATTAGTCATTGGTTCAAGTAAAATGTTTTAGGGCTAATTAAGTATATTTTCATCTCTATAAATATATTAATTAATTATTTTTAGATTTTTAAATACCTGGATTTTGATTTGTTTGTTTTAGTTTTTTTAAAAGTGAACACTTTTGGTCTTTACCTTATTATTAGATCTGACAGACTATTAATTCATATGTATCATGTTCTCACGAATATACTAAATTTTGGGTTTAATCTCTCCAAAATTTAAGTTTTAGTTTGTATATTTTATTTTATTTTTTAAAGGTGAGCATTTTGGGTTACTATCACGTCCCCACTCCCCATAGAATTTTTTTGATATTACTGTAGTATCTACATCATTTTTAAAAGAAGTAAAGTATCAGAACTTGAAGGAAAATATGAATAAAGACATGGATTTAAATGAGATAAAAAAATTTCAATTTGGAAAAGAGGGAGACCGAATTTGATACTCTTGAAAAAAATTTCCACTCCCCAAGTATATTATTTTCCCTTTTCTCTGTTGCAACATTTCTGTCCTAGGGATAGATATATCCAATTTTGTGACTAGTATATTAATATTAAATCTGTGTGCCCTCTTTCAGGTATCTATGAGAGAGATCAACGGATCACTGTGCACTATAATAAATGACATAGCCAAATGATGTGGTGTGTGAACAATGATAGCTAAGAAAGAGTTTAGAAAAAAATGGATTATGGGAGTGTGTGACTTGAACTATTAACTGGGCCGCGCAAATATATAATTTTTTTCTTATCTGCCACGTTTGAATTTACAATTAAATGTGTCTTTGTTCCAACCACTGCGCAAGTCCTCTATAGAAGATAGGCCGGTTCGCTTGAAGTGAAGAGAATCTTTTCTATGATCAGACTCGATCCTATCCTGCATGAACAGGCTCCGTAAGATCCAGTAAAATAAGTGATGTGGTATGATCAAAATAAAGTCTTTAGTATATCTTATTAATTTAACCCCTTATTTATAGACGAGTTACCTGACAATAGTGAAATTCTGGGTCTCTTAGAAATGTTTGGGGTCCAGTCCATGATCCATTGATGCCGTAGTAATATTAGTATAATTAATTAATCTTTCTTGAATTCTCTCTTACCCGTTAGCCCGTTTTGGATCTTTTAGAATATGTGCCTTATTCAGGTCCATAACACAAATTTTTCATAAACATGAGAATAGAGTATATGATGGACACATAGTTGCGAGGATTTTGTCTATTCTCCACACGTTTTATTCCTTCTTAATTTAGACCCTCAAATTTGGGTTTAAAAATTATTGTGGTTATTTTTGTGAAAAATTAAAGGGTTTTACATTTGTCATGTTGCATAATGAGAAAATTGTCCCTCAACCCCATTGCAAATATATACTTCAGCGAATACAAAGTTATAATATTAAAGTTGTTTTTTTTTTCTCTCTTCATGTCAGTCGACATGTTCTAAGAAGTGACTGAGAAGAAAGAAAGAAAAAACAACTTTAATATTATAACTATGTACTCTTCGTAGTACATAGTTATAATAATGTTGCAGAATAAGTTTCTCATCAATTTTTTTTTTTGCAGCAACTGATTATAACTATGTATTCCCGAGAATACATAATTACGATCTTATAGCTTTTTTTTTCTCTTTCTCGTCTGAAGTTGTCTGCTAACATGGAGAAAGAAAAAAAAATTCTGACTATAACTATGTATTTTCAGGAATACATAGTTGTAATTGATTGCAGTAAAAACATTTTTTTTTTTGCAATTTTTTCATATATGGAAGAAGTTCATTTCCTAACTAAATATTAGTATAAGACTATTTTGCACACGTCACATATGGAATACGTTATTTCATATAACACTTGCATGAATAAAAATGCTATATGGAATAACTATATTTATAAAAAGGGAAAAGTGTTTATCATTTTAAATGACATAAAGTTATGTCATTTGAAGAGAAAGACAGACATAAAATATCATTTTTTATTTAAAATTTAAATTAGAAAAAAAATCACTCACTCTCTCCCCCATGATTTTCATTTCTTGTGTCTATCTCTCTCCTAAAATGACATAACTTATTTTATTTAAAATGACAAACACTTAGCCCTTATAAAAAATGCTAATCGTGTCACACGATTAGCCCACTGGTGAAAGGTGGTGGTTTTTTTTATGCAGATCACAATTATCTCTTTGAGACGAGTTGAATCTTAGATATCTTTACAAGTTTCAATTCTTTGAACCGACAATAGAATTTTTCGTCGCTCTACAAAGATGCATTTGGTGGGAATAGGGACTTAGATACAATTAAACCTTCTATGTTCTATAACGTTACATTTTAGAAATACATGAATCTTTTAACTTTCGCAATGACAAATGTTAACTATCAAAACTTATTCCCAAAATAGTTAATGCGATTTTTATGTGTATAAAAACGCAATTAAATAATGGATACGGTTTTCATTCATATTTAGAAGGAAATTGAACGTTTGTTGCAATTTGCAATTCGGACGGGAAACTTAATGGACATGTAACAACCGTTACAGCTGTGATTACAAATTCCATTTATGCATTAATGAATTATAATTATAGTTATAAATAGACATTCGGTCACGCCATTTTAATGGAATTATTTTCTCCCCATCCATCAATGAATTTTCAATTACATTTATCCATCAATGAATTTTTATTATAGTGGTTGATGGGCAATTAATCAGGCCATTTTAATTGATTTTTCCTTCCCCACCCATTAATGAAATTGAAAAATATCACATAAATTAACACTTTCCATATGCGCTGTGCTATTCCACGAGCAAAACTTGAGTGCTCAAAAAGTTTCTTCTTTTGGGCAGATGTATCAAACATTCTTAGCATGAAAGATTTTTTTTTTCCTATTCGAGGGGTTGTTTTATAAGTAGGGTAGTTAAAATCTTAATTTATCATTATGATTTTGTGTTTATACAACTTTTTTTTTCATTAAAATATTTTTATCAATATTCTAAACACTTTTATATTTTTATGATTATTTTTACATTACAATTTTATGTTTTATTATTTTTTATTTCTTTTTAATTTTATGTAAAATCTCGATTTTAATTACCTTGCTAAAAGACGTCACCAGAAATATCATGTTGTATAAATGACAGTCTTACATTGATAATTAGTTATTTTGTATATTTTTTAGCATTTAGTTTTTTAATTTTTTAAACTACAAACGATTTTTTTAGCCCTCAAATTCGTGGCCTCTGCTTTTTTTACAAGAGCCCACCACCTGAAGCATTGTTAATTCTACCATCTCAAGAAATCAGCTTATCCCAAATGGTACGAAAGATACTCATTAACCTCAAATTTAGAACCCCATCACAAATTTGTAGTCAAATTCCGACAGTTGTTGGTCTATTATGTATTCCGACTCCACCTTCACATTCATATAAACTAAAAATATACTTAAGTTAATATTTTATTTTATTTTATTTTAGAAGATCGCGTTAATCAAAAACAGATTGATAGCATCCAGTATAACTTTATATAAAAATTGGAGTGAAACATAATTTCTTATAACATGACAAGAAAGTTAAAGAGATTTACACTAGATTTTATTCTGACTCAGATCCATAAATAATTTATTTTTCTTGTACGCCTCATAAGACTAATTTTCTATCCGTCTTTTTTCTTTGATCTCCTCAAGTTTGGAACAACCCGCCACAGAAAAACGCTAGAAGACAAAGAAACCTTTTCTCTTTGTAATCTCCTGCCTGTTTTTTTTTTTTTTTGCTTTCGTTGTTCTTCTTCCTTCAACTTTGTTTACGTTTTGAGACACAGACTGTTCTTGCATTTTTCATTTTGCTGGTCCCTTCAAAAAGATTTTTGAATTGTTGCCTTACATAA